TCTTTAACTTCAAAAGCTCTGGTCTCTGTCGTAGAAGAGTCACAGGTAAGCTGCCAGCTCTATTTTTAATACGCTCCCATGTGTGTCTTTGCCCCGCCCCCGTGAGACCAAACACCACAAAGACAAGGACTCCATGACTTAGCCTCTGTGTCAGCACTGATCCAGAGTAGGGAGAAAGTGCCCAACACACACTGGGGTTAGCTCCTTGATTTCTCTCCTGGGGTGACTATTGGAGAGTGGGCTTTCATCCTGAGAATAAGGAGGATGGGATTGAGGGTCAGGTAGGGAGAGGGGCCAATGGGAGGGCCCTGGGAGCACACTTTGATAACATTACAATACTGGCACAAGTCAGATGTGCCAGGGTCTAGCAGGGATGGTCAATCCAAAAAGCAAAAGGGCAGATTCTGTTAAAGATAGGCAATAATGAATGGTAGAACACACACACACACACACAATGACCTCAATCTGGAGATAATTAATGACAGCAGATATTTTTTAATGTACTGGGAGGACAGTTCTGGGGGAATAGCAATTGTCAACTTGAAAGCTCCTTCCATTTCTAGACACTTTATACAATAGATGGTTCCTACAGAGCTGAGAGTCACCCCTACCGGGGCACCCACATTTACACTCTGTTTTAGTCTCATAGTTTTCATTCCTAGTGAAAACGCCAATGAATTCAGGACAGGACCGTCCAATAACTACATGAATGATGCCTCTGTTGATGGGAGTTCTCCCATTCACAAAGCAATCTGCCCCCCTGAGGAACAGTCTTAGCACTGGTTTTGTTTAATGAGGCTGTTCTCTACATGAAGTCACTGAATTCATACTTCCTGGTGTCTACAGCACCAACTCCATGGAAGTCCTTCTTGCAGGAACAAGCAGCCTGAAATCCTTCCTAATTGTCTCAAAAAGCAAAACCCCTGTCGACAAGGCTCAGTGGTTTCGGGGCGACTCTAAGTCTTTTGAAGTCACTCTCTCTGTTGAGAGGCATTTCAGGATGACAGGTGCTACTTTGTCAACAATTCAACTAGAAAAATGGTTCTTAATGGAAATAATGAAGACAGGGTTCTGATTCTAGCCCGCCACTAACTTCCCCAGTGTCCCAGTCTGCAAAAAAAGGCCATTATGTTTTAATTCCACCTTTCCACAGATTTTTCTGAATCCCCCTTGCATTTCGACTGTCCTTTATAAACACATTCTCAGCCCTCCATTAGCAAACCTGAAAGAAAAAAAAGCCAACTGAAAACCACAGCATCCTTTGAACTTCATAAAAGCTGGGCACGTTAAATGTACACACTGGAAGGAACATATAATGTGCTGCATCAATTCCATATCACCCCTCATAACGATACAATGGAAGCAGGAAGTTTTTATGGAAAAATGGTATAGAAATGCCATAGCAAATTATTAATAGAAAATACTAAAATTGAGGGGGGAGATTGCTCAGTAATATCTTTCCCTTCAGGAACAAAACAAAAGATGGGTTTTGAGTTGCTTTTAGCAGAGGACGCACAAAGCCCAGCTGGCAGGGGAAAGTGGCGAGATGATCTGACAGGGTTCGCCCCAGCTCTACCCAACTCCCCTTCCACAGCTGGCCCAGCACTACACTGGGCAGAGGGGCCTTCCTGAAAGTTTTCCAGCTGTGACTGACATTGGAATGGCCTTTGATCCCCAGTTATTCAAGACCTCCCTTATATTTACATGAACCACTCTCCAATCCCTAGGCACCTAAGAACTTCCAGACTACTTCTTTTATGCTTCTTGGAAGGACTGAGAAATTGTTTGATCGGAAGGTGAGTCATCAGACACATTCTAGCTCTTTGCAGTTCCAGGACCCGGCCTGGTTATGTCTCCATGCCACTCCCAAGAGATCAGTACAGAAGGCGAGGGGGGAAAAGCGTTTCCATTTCTGGTCACCTCTGACGTCATAAGCAATGCCCACTATCACCAAAGGAGCATGTTTTGGCACCCTCTAGCACAATCAACATTTAGAAAGCAAATTGATTTTAATGTTTAATGTTATTCAACATTAACATAGCCAGAATCAACCCCATAGCAACGGACTAGGGCTGGCACCTGAATGTTGTGCAACAAACTAGTCCTGGTCCACTCCTGAGGAGCTTGTTGCAAGAGAAGAAACACTGCTAAAGCAACTTGTACCCTAAATGCTGGGGAGGAAGGGCCCTGTAGCCCCAAGGCAGAACCTGAATAAATGGGCAGTTTCAACAGTGAGTGCATACAATCACCACAGGGGAGCCCCCTTGGTGTCAAGCCACATTTGTGAGACACTCTGGACAGCTCAGGATGTAGCCACTTGGGACCACTAGGGAACAAATGCTTTAGTTTACATATTGTAATTATGTCTTGGTCCCTCTGGGAGCCTGCAAGCAGTAAGCAGAGCCACACATCAATTGTAAATCTCAAAACAAGTAGTCCAACTGGAATAGGACCCTATCCATAAGGGTTCCTTGCCCGGGGCATTCTGTGGCACAAAACTCAAGACGAATCCCAGGGAGCTGACCAGAGCCCAAAGGTCTGCAGCGTTGGCAGATGCCCAGTAGGCAGCACATTTGGAAGCACGAGTTCTTAAAGGGGCCTCTCCCTCTCGAATAATCGGGAGTCACCTTACATAGCTTTTTCCCAGCTCCCTCAGTTGCTCCACAGCCTGCCCTCTAAAGGAAGAGGCATGGCAGTAGGGTGTGTCCAAAGAACCTAGTCCATTTCGCCCAAGTTTCTAGCAACAAAGAATATGCATAATAATAGTCCAAAACTCAGCGCTGAGCCACTCCGCTCGGGTTAGACAGACATCTCACACATTTGTCAAGATTACTATCAGGCCCCACCTCCACGATTGCAACACCTACCGATGGGCATCAACCTTGTAAATCGTCCCTAAGTTCCCTGGTCGGCCTAGAGCGCAGGAGCAGCGCTCACTCTCACATGAGTTGAGTATTCCCGGGTCCTTGATCCTGGCGTTGGTGTGCCCGCCACATCGGCTTTGTAAAATGCGCTGGAATCCTTGCGACGCTCTCATCAAAGAGCCCAGGACCCAGGTCTGCTCCCCAGCCCCCCGGGCTACACAGCAACTGCCGCCACCAGGCCCAGCCATCACCTTGCCTGGCTCCTGTCTGGGGGCTCCCAGGTGACTCCAGGAATGGGGGAGGGTCAGCGCCCGGAAGGGGAAGTGGGGCTCAACTCCTACCCCCTGGCGACCCAGGACACCAACCAAGAAGGGCAGAAATCGCTCCCATTTATTAAGTCCTGAAGGGAGCCCAAGTGGCGCCATGGTTAAGCGCTGGGCTGCGAACCAACAGTTCGGCATTTTGAACCCACCAGTCTCTGGCGCAGTGTGGCGGTGGGGCCGTGGTGGGGGCGGAGAGAAGATTTGGCCACCTGCTTCTGTTAAGATTCCACAAACCAAACCCAAGTGGCCCTTACAGGGTTTCTGAGACTGCAAATCTTTACGGGAGCAGAGAGCCTATCTTTCTCCCTCCCCTCAGAGCACCTGGTGGGATTGAACCGCCAGCGTAAGTAACTGCAGCTCTTGCCATGCAAACTCTATCTATAGGGGGTCTCCGGGAGTTGGAATCCACTAGACTCCAAGGCCTATCACGTCTTTATCGTTGCATGGAGGTTGGAACGGCCGATTCCCAGTTTCTGGTTCCGGTGCAGCAGTAGAAGTAAGAAGATGAACAAATCCCACCCGGGACTGAGCTCTCCCAGTGCCATGCCAGGCCAGCCAGACCTTCCTTTTTGGTCCTTCCTGCCTCAATCAACCTCTTGGTGTCCACGGCCCCTGGTCTCCCCAGGCTTAGGTGGCTCTGCTGGGCGCGCTTTCAATCCCAGCAACCCAGTTCTAACCAGCAACCCAGTTCTAACAGCCTCCGCAGAGCATGGGTCTGGAAGATCCAGCCCACTGCGGGAAGCACCGGTGGAGATGGGAGTGGGAAGCCGGGCGGTGACGCCCGCGCTGCGCCCAGAGTCGCGCTGTGCTGAATTGCTCCGCCGCGCCGTGCGCTCCAAACCCGGTCCGCAGAGGGCCTGCTGGCCTGGCCGGAAGCAGCCGGGAGGGGGCGAGAGGGCAAGGAGAGTTGGCCCGAGTTCCCTCTCACCCAGTGCCGAGAGGCTGCCGAGGGCAGGCGGACAGATTATAGTTGCCCTTTCTGCCCTCTTGGGAGAGGAGACACCAGGGCCTGCCGAGGACGCCCAGAGTCCCCCATCCTTCCCTGGACACCAAGATTCTTGCCCCCCACGGGGCAACCCTTGCCATTATCCACTCTCTGGTGGGAGTCAAGATAAGGGCAGGGCAAGGTGGGTCACTAAACTCCTGTCAAGTCTGGAGCCCGCGTGCAAGGCCTTTCCGAGGAAGCGCGCACCTTAGCCGCGCTCCGCCTCCGGACCCTTGGCCGTTTGGGGCGCAGCGCGGGCAGAGGAGCGCATCTGGAGGGGTCCAGATGACCCTCAAAAAAAGGAGTCGGTGCTTCCCTGCAGCCGAGGCCTGGGAAAATCAGCAACTCCCTAGACTTTCTACGTGCCGGCAGCAGCAGTTTGGTGCGAGGGGACCGGGAAATTTTGGAGAGCAAGCCGGGAGTGCACCGGTCCTCCACGGCCAACTCCGTCGCCCTCCCGGCCCTTGCGCACGCCTGGCCGCCCGACTGTTGCGGGCCCAGCAGCTGCACAGCGAGCCTCAGCCCTGCATGCCCAGACTGGGCACCTGCTCCCCAGCTCCAAACCTTCCAGCGCGATCTTCGGGCCACGAAGACCTCTTTCTACCCCTCTCGATCGTGCCGGCCTCGCGCAACCCCGCCACCCGCCTCGGACCAGCTCCTTCGCTGGTTCGGACGCCCCTTTACCTTTTCTTTTCCTTGTCAGCTGTCATTGTCGCGGTGGACCCTGGAGACGCGGAACCCCTGGGTGATCCGGCTGGCGGCGGCGGCGGCGACCGCTGCCTCCGCTGTGATCCTCGTCCGCTTTCGGAGGCCCAGGCGGTTGGAAAAGGTCCTAGGTGCTCGCAAGTTCGGGAGCGCCCCGCACAATCAGGTGGCAGTTTGCGGGCGACTGGCTAGGTACGGGGGCGGGAGGTGGAGAAAGGTGACGGGGAGGAACCTGCAGGGGGAGGCGGGGTCGGGAAAGGAGTGGGAGGAGGTTGTCAAACGCGCCGAGAGGGCATCGGGAGGCGAACCCAAGTTCCTGTTTCTATCCCCCAAACAGTCACTTCGCTAGGTTTTCAAAAAAGGAAGGAAAAAACAAGAAAAGAAAGGAAAGGGGGGGAAAGGCAAGCAGAGGCTGCAAGGACCAGAGTCCAAAGGCGGGCTGGCTGTGACTGCTGAGATGACCATACAGTCTCAGGACACTGCCGAGGATTGTACGGCCGTCTCAGAAAACTCGGGCGGGCGCGCGGCGAGCGCCGG